TGGAGCAGCTCTGTGACCCCTTCGGTCAGGGCTGGGCTATTTTTTGGGATCTCTCTGCGCTCTCACGAGAGCTCCTTGAGCGCGTTCCCAGCGCGGCAGGGTCCCCCACCTGCCTGGGCTCGCATGTGTTTGCCCCAGACCAGGGGGCTTATTCGCGACCTCCCGTGCTCATCTGGCCTCCCTGGCACGCGAGCTTCGCGGCACTGGTCCGTTTAGGGTCTTCTATTGTGTGTTTTCCCCGCTTTTGGCTCTTTGGGTGCGTTGCTTGCCCTCGCCAAATGGGGACTACGGAAATGGGAGGAAATCAGCTCTAGGACTCTCCGGTTAATCCTGTTTCTGGTCTCTCCTCCAGGGACTCTGGGCAGCTCTACTTATTTTGTGGGCCGCTCCGCAGTCGCGACGGGTAGGTCAATTTATGCCTGCCCTTGCCCCTCTGTGCAATCCCTCGCAGGCCGTATGGGTGCCAGTCTGTGTGAGGCCTTGCCGGCAGGTGCAAGCGTTCGCCAGCCCGCGTGGGTCACACACACGCTCGCCAACCCTCGCCAGTCACTCGGCGCAAGTGTGCGCGCCTGCTCTGGGTGTTTTGGGGGTGTCTATGTTTGCTTTTCGGCTTTTGGCTCTTTGGGGGTGTGGCCTCTTCCCGCGCAATGGAGACTTCGGCAAGGAGAAGGAGTCAGGACTCCCCGGTTCATCCTCCCGTTCTTTCCCCAGTGCCTCCGTTTCTAGTCTCCCCTCAGGGGCCTCTGGGCAGTTCTGTGACCCCTTCGGCCGAGGATCCAACCCCTGTGCGGACTGCGTTTCAGTCGCAGGCAGTCTGGTTCAGGCGCGCCCCGCTTCTGCCTCTTTGGGGTCGCGCCTTTCCAGCCCACAATGGAGACTACCGAACGTGGAGGGAGTCGGGACTCCCCGGTTCCTCCCCCCGTTCTTTCCCCAATGCCTCCGTCTCCAGTCTCTCCTCAAGGCTCTCCCAGCCAGTCTGCACTCAGCCCCCCAGCTCACAGGCGCACAAGCTGTGTGCGGAGTGCACAAAAGGCAGGTTAATTGATTCCCTTATGCCTGAGCGAGATGGTAGCTGCAGAGTGGGAAGTGCGTTATCTCCCGGGCTCCACCGGCCGCAGAGTCAGTTCTCTTCACAAAGTTTTCCTCACCAGTCTTTTCCCAGACACCAGCCCACCCTGCTGCCGCCTGTACCCAGCGATCAAGGAGGGTGGCTGCCGCTGCAACTTTTGCGTTTGCCCTTTAAATGTCTTTTTGCATCCCCAGCCACCTGTCTCTGGCAGAGAGCGCCCCTAAGCTTTTTGGGGTTGCGTTTTGTCTGTATTTTCTCGGCTTTAGCTGCTGTAGTTTAGGGGTTCCTGTTTATGATTCAGACCCCGTTCTTCTCGGGGGCAGCTAACTACTGGCTGTTTCAATGTCCCTCTGGTGCCAGTGCCCGTGCGCACCCAGCCCACCCTCTCGAGCCTCCACCGCAATTCTCACCCGTTGGGATGTGTGAGAGTCGAATCCGCTGTCCGCGGCACCAAGGCTCCTCTCCCACTATCGCTCCACTGCTTTCCAGGTGATTACTCCATTATTTAGTTGCAATTCCAGTTTGGTTTTGGGAGGAGGTCAGCGTGACTCCCTTTCACTCCTCCGCCATCTTTTTCTCTCCCGCAGTAATCTCCATATTTGATTTTTTTAATATGTATTTATTGCGTATACTATTACAGTTGTCCCATTTTTTTTCTCCCCTTTATTCCCCTCCATTCTGCACCACCCCTCCCAGTAGCATCCCTCTCCCTTAGTTCATGTCCATGTGTCATATGCATAAGTTCTTTGGCTTCTCCATTTCCTATACCATTCTTAACCTCACCCTGTCTATTCTATACCTACTATTTAGGCTTCTTATTCCCTGTACCTTTTCCCCTATTCTCCCCCCTTCCTCTCCCCTCTGATCTCCATTTCTGTGATTCTGTTCCTGTTCTAGTTGTTTGCTTAGGGTTTTTTTTTGTTTTTGTTTTTTATCATTATTTGTTGATAGTTGTGAGTTTGTTGTCATTTTACCGTTCATAGTTTTTGATCTTTTTCTCAGATAAGTCCCTTTAACATTTCATATAGTAAGGGCTTGGTGATGATGAACTCCTTTAACTTTACCTTCTTTGGGAAGCACTCTATCTGCCCTCCCATTCTAAATGAGAGCTTTGCTGGAAAGAGTAATCTTGGATGTAGGTCCTTGCCTTTCATGACTTTGAATACTTCTTGCCGGCCCCTTCATGCCCGTAAGGTTTCTTTTGAGATCTCAGCTGATAGTCTAATAGGAACTCCTTTGTAGGTAACGGTCTCCTTTCTCTTGCTGTTTTTAAGATTCTCTCCTTGTCTTTAATCTTGGGTAATTTAATTGTGATGTGCCTTGGTGGGTGCTTCCTTGGGTCCAACTTCTTTGGGACTCTCTGGGCCTCCTGGATCTCCTAGACATCTATTTCCTTGGCCAGACTGGGGAAGTTCTCCTTCATTATTTTTTCAAATAAGTTTTTGATTTCTTGCCCTTCCTCTTCTCCTTCTGGCATCACTATGATTCAGATGTTGGAACTTTTAAAGTTGTCCTGGAGGTTCCTAAGTCTCTCCACATTTTTCTGAATTCTTGTTTCTTTATTCTGTTCTGGTTGAATGTTTATCTCTTCCTTCCGCTCCAAATCATTGATTTGAGTCCTGGTTTCCTTCCCTTCACTGTTGGCTCCCTGTGTATTTTTCTTTATTTCACTTTGCATAGCCTTCACTTTTTTCTCCATTTTGTGACCCTACTCAGCCATTTCTGTGAGCCTCCTATTACCAGTGTTTTGAACTGTGCATAGGATAGGTTGGCTATCTCTTCATCACTTAGTCCTGTTTTTAGAGCTTTGATCTGTTCTTTCATTGGGCCATTTTTCTTTATCTCAACGTGCCTATTATGTTGTAAGGGGTGGAACCTTAGGTATTTGCCAGGGTGGGGCAACCCAGGTTTCTGCGCTGTGACGCTGTACGTGGGGGAGGGGCCTGAGAGGGAACATGCTGCTTGCTCGGCTCTTGGCTGGCTTTCAGTCACTTCCCCCGCTACTGACAAGCAAATTGGGCCCTTCTGGTTCTAATTTGCAGGTGGGTGGCTTTGGGTACATTCTAGGCCCCTGTGGATCTCTCCAATGAACTTTCCTGTGAGGCTGGGAGTTTCTCCCACTGCCACAACCCCCACCGGTTTTTACAACCAGAGGTTTTGCGGCTTTCTTTTCCCACACTGGAATCCTGGATTGCTCAGTCTGTCTCGCTCCCCCGCTCTTCCTCTCAGTTTATCCGCATGCAAATGTGGGACCACCTGGCCCGCCAGCTGCTGCCTTGCCACGTGTCCACTCTGGCTGCCCATCTCTGCCACTTCTACTGGTCTGGATAAATATTTCTTCTTTAATTCCTTGGTTGTTGGACTTCCATACAGTTCAATTTCCTGGCAGTTCTGGTTATTTTTTGTTTTTAAACTTGTTGTCATCCTCCTTTCGGTTGTGCGAGGAGGCAAAGCGTATCTACCTACACTTCCATCTTGGCCAGAAGTTGTATGTGATATGTTTTCTACCAGAAGAAGCTACAAAGGAAAGTGATTCTGATGCGAAGAGTGGGATTTGAAGAGGGTCTATTTAAGATCTATTAGTGAAATAAACTAAAAGAAAATATTACCTGTATGAGGAGGTATTGTGGGGAGTGGGAAGAACAGGTGTCCACTTCAGCAAATAATTAGATATTTAATCCTGACATTGCAAGTGTCAAATTTGAATATGCTTGACACTTTGGCTCATGTGGAAGCAACCCCAGTGGAGAGCCTGTGACAGTGCTACAGACACTATCATTCAGTCTGCCAGCTCCTTATTGTGAGTGTGCATTGGAGGTCCTCGCTTATTCCAGAAGCACAATTGCACTTTTTAAAAATCACTTCCAGCAAAATTAGGTAAATCAGGTGTATGAGCAGAACTGCAGTTATATTTACATAGAACACAATGTAGGTAACACATAGATCCCGTAAGATACGGTTGAACTTAAATCCAATCAGCAGGTAAAATGAGTTCTTATTGTATATATACAAACAGCCTGTAAAGTGCTTTGGGAGTTAAAATATAACATAAATTGCATTCCAGACCTTAAATTTATTTTTACATACTCATTTAATGAACACATATATAGCTCTTACTATAAACCAGGCACTATTTTAAGCACCTTATCAGTATTAACTGATTTAATCTTCATAATAACTCTTGGATTCCTCAGGGTTAATCTACAGTATAAAAAAAATTTAATGATTTACTCAGCAGCAAAATCAAACTCATTGATCAAGTGTCTTTTTTCCATATAGTCCCTGTCCTACAAGGGCTACTAAATAAATATCCAAGTCATTAAATAAATAAGCTGACATTCTTGGTAACAGACAACCTTGTGATGTTGAACTTGGTGTCATAAATGCAATTTCCAAGGCCTACTAAATTTATTTATTTAAAGCATTTATAATAACAAATAATTGGAAGGTTTCTTGGAGTTTATTGAAATAAAATTGGATCCTGATTTTCATGATCTACAAATAAATGAATCAGGAGGAATAGTGGTGATGTCATCAGCCACATGCGGTATAATGTGAAGTCATTTGGTATTGAATAAATGAGGCCCTGCAAAATAAATGTTTGTAAGTCTGCCAGCCTTACTTAGGGGGCAGGCAGGAAGTTAGTTTATGGCCTAAAGATTTTGATTAAGAAGTAAATGTTTGAAGGTAAAACTTGTGGTCTTCACTGCTGTTGGCTGTATTTTAAACTTAATTTTTAAAAGAAATGATAATCAAAGAGATTGACTATTGAAAAATACTTTGTTTTCTCACATACATAAGAAATCAATATTGTAAAAACTTGATTCTCTTCCCTTGCATCTGTAACAGTTGTGAAATTTTATTCACTTACTCTGTATCTCTACATAGAAGTTTCTTTCTAATCCAAGTTTACTGTGGAAATTTATCATAGGTTCAGAGAGGATTAGTGATCTACGTGTGCTTTTTCAAGGGAGCTGATAAAGAACTTCTTCCCAAAATGGGTATGTGTTTGATGTTTCTTTTTTGAGTGAGAATGTGTAGCAATAGTAGATACATTTCCAGAAGGGGCAAAAGATACAATCTCACTGGTAAATTCTAAATGACTTAACTCTGTACTGTTGTTGACTTAAGCTATTTGTCTATTCCAAAGTTTAAAGTAAACAAATGTGGTAGAATTCTTTTAAAATATCTGCTGCATTTCAGATGACTTATAGAATGGTTTAGAAGAGTGTATACACACACACAACACCCTGATATTCAGACAAGGATACAGAAAATTGTTGGAAGCAGGGTGGCCACATAGGGAGACACAGATGCTGCATTTCTTAATATAGTTTTCCTATGTTCCAGAGTTTATAACAGGAACATGTAGGTAACACTGGATGTATAAGATGTGGGCCCCTTCAAATCTAGACAGCTCAAGGTGGCATCATTATTACGCAGATTTACATTAACCCTTTATGCATTTCTTACATAGGAAATGTGTGTAAATATAATGTTCCCCCAATTCTTGAACCAAGCTTAGTGACATCATATCCACACCTCCTCCAGGGATAGAGCAAGCATCACTGAGCAATAATTTATCTCTCTGCAGCCCTCCACTGTACTGGATAGTCCATAGTATTGCACATTCTTTGTGATGATTAAATAGGTATCATATATACCATGTTAAACCGTAAATTGTCTCAAGACAGTATTTAATATAAAAATCATGTGCTGCCAAAAAGCCTACAGTAATGGCTCTATCCTTAAGATTGGGGACAGGTTAGTAAAGGGCATTAGCCATTAGTTTGATTGATAAGATACAAATTAAACAAATGGATAGTTGAATCATGTAGAAATTAACCTAAAAGAGCTTCAAGTAGTAGAACTCAAAAAGTAAATCGCCCAGTGAAGAACAGCTTAGACTAAAAGCTATATTAAAACTCCTTAAGGGAATTTTATACCGAGATATCAAACATGTTTGATAATTTGTACACGGCTGAAAAACAGACTTAAAAATGGACCTATGGTGGGTGTGGATGAAAAGCCAGTAACTACAATGGTTTAAAATTTGAAGCTGGGGATGATAGGGAGCTCAGAGAAAGTGAAATAAGGGCTCGTGTTATATAGTGTTACTTACCAGCACTTGATTCCTGGGAGTTAGACATACTGTTCATTTTTCCAAGATAACATTTTTGCTTTGAATTATATCTGTATTAACCATAAAACAGTTTAGTAGAAATCTTCAATAACAGAAAGAGAATTTTTGTCATCGTGAGTAAAAATTGACTTCGTAAAGTTGTTTTATATATTCTTAAATGGATCTCAATCATAAGATGAAATGAACCAACCACATCCAAGCTGCACTGTGTTTTATAGTAATTAAATCCTGTGTGCTTCCAAAACTGTCTTCTTAGTTCACTTTGAATACATGTATAAATTGTGGTGAATTAAAAACACTGAGGAGGTTGGCCTTAACTCTTTCTTTTAAATTATATTTTATTGTTTATGCTATTACAGTTGTCCTTGTTTTTCCCACTTTGCCCCCCTCCACCCAGAGCCCGTGCACTCCCTCAGGGGATCCCTACACCATTGTCCATGCCTGTCGGTCCTGCCTATAGGTTTTCTGGCCACTCTGTTCCCTATACTGTACTTTACATCCCCATGATTATCCTGTAACTACCAGTTTGTACTTAATCCCTTCATCCCTTTCACCCATCTCCCCGATCCCCCTCTATTCTGGCAACCATCAAAACGTTCTCTGTGTCTATGAATCTCTTTGTGTTTTGCCTTAACTCTTTTAGTGGATGTCTAAATGCAAAGCTTTATATATCATGTTTCTCAGTAAAGAACTGTGACTTTAAGAATCACATTCTGCTGGTGTCAGTTATAAGCAAAATAAGTCCATCTATTATGGATAGCATCAGCTTGTACTAACTTGTACTTCCCTCTGTTCGAAGAGGCAAAGTAAGTCAGTAGGATGGGAATCTCTTAAACCTCACCTCACACTAATTACGTGGATTCAGATCTTTTCCAATCAAATCATGTGCCTTTGGGAACGTAAACACCAGTTATAGCCATAAAGTCTGAAATAGCATGGCTAACCTAGAGTGTGATGAATCTTCAATTCATCTTCAGTGTAATTGGACTGAGATCCAGAGATCTGTCAAAACTTAACTTTCCATATACATCATTAGAGACACTTGATTGATAACCTGTCTTAGGATCTTTGAGTCTCCAACATGCCATTCATTCATTCGTTGTCTCCTTTTAATTCTACTTGCTGACAATTCGTATTTATATTACATTTACTTCTGCATACTAATATTTGTTTACCAACAGCATTAATTGAATTCTCAGTCATAGTCTACAGAGGGAGTTGTGTGGAAGTATAATAAATCGTGCTCTGGCCTGTTATTGCAGAATTACCTCCCTACTCTGTTACTAGCCTGAGGCCTGGGTAGCTAGATCAAGAATTCCATTGGAAAGAAGTGCCCTGGAGAGTTACAGTTTCCTTAGAAGTAATGAATAAGGACTGCTGGCTCTATAGCCAAGTCCTATTTGTAATAGAGAATACTAGAGGTATTTTATTTTTTTAAAGATTTTATTTATTTATTTTTAGACAGAGGGGAAGGGAAGGAGAAAGAGAGGGAGAGAGACATCAATGTGTGGCTGCCTCTGATGCATCTGCTACTGGGACCTGGCCTGGAACCCAGGCATGTGCCCTGACTAGGAATGGAACTGGCAACCCTTTGGTTCGCAGGCTGGCACTCAGTCCACTGAGCCACCCCAGCCAGGCGGAAATAGTTTAAAATAGATGTTAGTTAAGTGAAAATTGATAGTGCTTAATGTGTAGCTCAGGAATTCATTTGGACGGTCTCCTTGGCAGGTTATACCAGGTTATTTCCCTGATTGTAGAGTGGTGCAACCATGCTGAAGCCTTACTAATATTTTTACAGACCCTATGATAATTGAAACCATTGACTACCACACCAGAAAGCTTACCTTTCCAAACCTAATTATTGGGCAAGAGTGTGAGGTTTATATAGTTTATTTTACCATTTATCCTCTCAGGACTACTGTTTACAAGCAGAAGCTATTTTTATTTTATAGAGGAAGGAAGACCCTTGTGCTACTTACATTAGGCACATCTTTTGATTATTGTTTTGAAAATGGCTAATGTTGAGATGCATAGGTTTTCTAAGTCTAGATTTTTTTTTAGTACACATCAATATTTATGGTGATTTTGATACTTATTAGCTATGAGTATCAATTTCATAAGTGCCGTAAAAATAGTAATACCATTGTATGTATATGAAGATAATATCAGTAACTCTAAACCTTTGGATTTGCTTTTTCAATTGTAACAATGAATTTCTCTTCTTTTCAATTCACGAAGATTTATTGAGTACCTACTATATATGTGCAAAGCTGGTGGTTGACAAAATACACATAAACAAGGTAGACCCAATTCAATTTAACAAACATCTGTTATGTGTAAGCCACTAACATTTGGCTCTTGCCCTCATGTCATACAGACCGGGGGAGTAGCAACATGGCAAGATCAGGGATGTATAGGTGAAAATCTAGCGCAGTAAATAAATTGTTTGAGGTTCTCAAAGTTAATTTGTTTGGATGGGATGTCTATTTACAGAATGAAAGTTACTGCTTTTGTTTTATTTTATTTTTTCAATGTTTTATTATTTATACTGTTACAGTTGTCCCAGTTTCTTCTCCCTAGTAACAATGAAATTCTGATGATTCTTGCTTTCACCTTTACTCTTCTCCCATGGGTTATATCTGTAAAATGATAAGTCTATATTAATAGTGCCTTTGAGATTATAAAATTATAAAATTAGGTGGTTTATCATGGAATTGAACTTGGTACCTTTGTCTCAGCTTAGAACTCTAGGCAATTAAGTTTAAAATAATATATACACTAAGATTTTTATTTAATATTCTTTGTTACGAAGCAGAATTTGATGTAAGGAGGATTTATCTCAGTCTTTTTCTAATGGTATTTGCTTATGAAATGTAAAAAGGAATAAAAAGGCAAAAATCTTCTCATGTGTCCCCCAGGGCAACAATATTTTCAGGTTTCAGTATGCAGTTAATTTTGTCCCACATTTAAAGCATTATTCCATTTTCTGCATGAAATTTGCCTTGTTTTTCATGCTTAGATCATTCAGCTTAATGAAGCAGTTTTTAAAATCTAAATAAAGACTTTGGGTAAGAAGCATGAGCTGACAAACTGGGTTTTAAGTATGAGATTTGCTGACTAGAAAATTGTTGGGTTTATTTTTTTTCTTCATTTGTTTTTTACTTCAAAATGTTTTCCCTTTCTTTCTCACCCAGTTAATACACTGCTAAACGTGAAATTAAGTGAAACAGAAAATGGAAAGCACGTCTCTATATTGGATCTACCCGGCAACATTCTTATTATCCCTCAAGCCACCCTTGGCGGGAAAGTAAAAGGAAGAAACATGCAGTATCACTCTAACTCTGGAAAAGAAGAAGGGTTAGAACTTTATTCCCAGTTTGTGACTCTATGTGAAAAAGAATTAGCTGCTAACAGCAAGTGCGCTGAAGCCGGGGTTGTGGTGAAACATGGCACTTACGGGAACAGGCAAGTGTTAAAGCTGGATACCAATGGACCATTCACGCACCTGATTGAGTTTTGAAAAATTAAAAGTCAGTTTCTACAGTTGTTTCCTGGTATAAAGTGATCTGGACTATAGTTGGATTTCGCCCCCCCACCCCTTCTTCTTGAATAAACTGATCTGCAGCATTTTTAGATGAGAAATCCTGGGTCCAATTCTTAACTCTGCAACCTGCTAATTGAATGACCTTGCTAGTCACCTAAATTCTGGATCTCAGTCATTGTTCATTCTGCTTTTCCCTACGCTTTAATTTGAAATTTTGAGAAATGCTTTCTATTTACTTTATGGTCATTGTGGAAATGTTCTTAGAGAGCTATATTTAAGTATTTTGCAATGACGAGTTATCAAGAAAAATATATTTCAAAAAAATATATATATTTCTTACACCCTTAAATTTATGTAGTATGTAATAAAAACAAATATTAAAGTTGGGTAAAATCTAGCAAAAACAAATTGCAATTTTGTCAGTTTTGCTTTACTATTCAGTTTTCTATATTTTGAACAAAAGATTATGCAGTTTATTGTTCCTTTTAATATCTATGAAAATGTAATAAATGTTACTGTGTATTATATTACTTTCCAAGCATATCCAAGTGTTTTAAAATTATTTTAAGAATGGTTAGTTGACATAGGAAGAGGTATTAAAAGGTGTTTTTATTTAATATACCAATGGATTAATACTTCTCATTTTTTTACCAAAACAATGTACATCTCATATTTAGTCTTTTGCCTTTTTTTTCCCTACTCAAACCAACTAAGCCACTTGACCAGGGCAGTCTTTTGCTTTTAAAAGTTACTTCTTCATGAAACTAGTGTTAGTTTATAATGTCACTTTTTTTAGGAAGTTCCTTCATTGTTGAATTAGATTGCTATAAAGGAAGAAAAAGGAAAGTTTTTCTACTGGAATTATTTGAAAACAAGTTCACGTGTTCATTTTCATATTATCTATTTGATGATTTGAAGCCACTTTAATTTTTTCTATTAGTGAACTTCTCTGTTGCCCCCCGACCCTCAAAAGAAACTGACCATGCTGCCACCTTGATCTCCAACTTCTAACCATCAGATCTCTGAAAAAATAAATTTCTGTTTAAGCCACCTAGGTTATAGTCTTTTGTTAGACAGCCCAAGCTAGGAGAGTGACATAAAATAGACAGCTAGTCAAATAGACTTTGCAAAGGCAAGAGAGGAAGATATGTAAGAAAATGAAATAATAAATCAATAAAATGTTAAACTCACATTTTGCAAACTCTTGCAACGTGATTTAAAAAGATATTTTTCTGCCCTGGCTGGGCAGCTCAGTTGGTTGGAATGTCGTCCCAACGCACCAAGGTTGCAAGTTCAATCCCTGGTGAGGGCACTTACAGGTAAGTGCATGGATAAGTGGAGCAACACATCAATGTTTCTTTTTTCTCTAAATTCAATAAATGAAAATTTTTAAAAAAATAAAAAGATTTTTCTCATTATGGTTTCAATTCGCATCTCTCTGATGATTAGTGACACTGAGGACTTTTTCATGCCTATTGGCCACCTGCTTATTTGTCCTATTTGGACAAATATTTTTTCAGGTCCTCTGCCCATTTCTTAATTGGGTTGTTTGTCTTCTTGGTATTGAGTTGTATAAGTTCTTTATATATTTTGAAAATTAACCTATCATCAGATATATCATTGGCAAATATGTTCTCCCATTCAGTGAGTTCCTTTTTCATTTTGTTGATAGTTTCTTTTGCTGTGTAAAAACTTTTTAGTTTGATGTTGTCCTGTTTGTTTATATTTTCCTTATTTCTCCTGCCCAAGGAGATATATTGGCAAAAATTTTGCTATGAGAAATGTCTGAAATTTTACTGCCTGTGTTTTCTTCCAGAATTTTTATGGTTTCACAACTTACATTTTAAGTCTTTAATCCACTTTTAGTTTATTCTGGTACATGGTGTAAGTTGGTGGTCTGGTTTCATTTTTTTTCATGTTGTCTGTCCAGTTTTCCTAACACCATTTTTTAAAATGGCTGTCATCAATAAATCAACAAACAAATGCTGGCAAGAATGTGGAAAAAAGAGAACCCTCATGCATTGTTGCTGGGAATGCAGACTGGTGCAGCCACTATGGAAAACAGTGCAGAGTTTTCTCAAAAAATTAAAAATGGAACTGCATTTTAACCCAGCGATCCCATTTCTGGTAATATATCTGAAGGAACCTGAAACACTAATTTGAAAGAATATATGCACATGCATCCCTATGTTCATTGCAGCGTTATTTGCAATAACCAAGATCTGGAAATAGCCTAAGTACCTATCAGGTGAGTGAATGAAAACCTGGTACATTTACAGAGTGGAATACTACTTGGCCATTTAAAAAAAAAAGAAATCTTAACCTGTTACAACAGCATGGAAGGACCTGGAGATCATAATGCTAAGTGAAATAAGCCAGTCAGAGAAAGACAAGTACTATATGATCTCACTTATGTGTGGAATGTAATGAAGGAAATAAACTGATTAACAAAACAAACAGACGCAGAGATACATGGAACAGACTGACAGCTGTCAGAGGGAATGGGGGTTGGGGTCTGAATGGAAGACGGGGAAAGGATTAAGCAAAGGAACACAGAGACACAGACAAAAGTGTGGTGATAGCCAGAGGGAAATGGTGATGGGGGTTGGTGGAGGTGCGCAAAGGGAATAAATGGAGACAGAAAGAGACTTCACTTTTGCTGATATGCACAAAATGCAATGTGCAGATGATGTTTTGTTGGGTTGCACACTTGAAACCTGTATGGATTTGTGAACCAATTTCACGCCAATAAATTCAATAAAAAATAAAGGTAAATTATAAAGATAAAAATAAAATGTTTTAAAGAGTAAAAAGAACCAAATAACAATTCTAATTACCAAAAAGATGAAAAAATTAACTTGAATAAACTTCTTAAGTAGCTGCTGAAAATTCTTAGTCTTACCATTTCTTTAGGTCTGTGTTCCTAAGATACTTTAGACTTCTATACAAAAAAATTATATTTTCTCTATATTCTTCCTGTACTATTTTGGAAGTTGAGAATCAATATCTGCCTTGGTAATGAGCTCTTTGTCCTTAAACTTTTGCTGTATTGATTCACAATACACTTACTGAAATGTAATAAACTATTCATAAACCTGCAAACTCCAATTTTATCAAAGCTTCTCCAGAGCTGTATATATCTTTTAAAAAGATTATGTGTTTCCTATTTTAAATCATTTTGATTTTGTGTGTAGGTGAAATGCTGACTCACAGCCCTAGATTGCCATTTTATAGTTCAGGCAATTATCCTTTAAAAAAAATTGCTTGAGAATAACAGTTTCAGCCACATGAAGGTTATCAAGCAGAAAGTGATGGCCAACTTTTTCATTTCCAAGGAGACTAGAACAAGAGGCAAGGGCGAAAGAAATAGCAGATATGAAAATAACTACACCTTGGTTTTCTGTAGCTTTTCTGACCAAAGATGCACAAAGAACTTCCAATAAGTATCTCATTTTATGTTCCCAGTATATAATGAGGATAATGCTGTGGAAAGTAAGACAATGCTTAAATAATTTTCTGAAGGTCACATTGTAGGGAGGAATGATTTCCATCTTCCTGACTTTCCTTATAGTAAGAGTTGTTGAAATTGATCATGATGAAAGTTTAGCATCTCTCAATGTTGATCTTTTGATAAAGAATAGCCAGTACATTGGTTTATTTATTAAGTTGGATGGCAGAGTTATGAAATAAGTCTCAAGGATGCAACATACATATGGAATACAGTCAATAATACTTTAATGACTGTGGTGTTAGGTTTGTACTAAACTTACCATGGTAAACACTTTGTAAAGTCTATTAATGTCCAACCACTATATTGTGCACCTAAAACTAATATTATATGTCAACTATAATTTTAAAATAAAAAATAAATTAGGCGATAGGGTTGACATAATTTAGATGCCTTCTCCCTCTGTCTAAGATTCTAGAAATTTTTAATTAGAATATCATTTATTTCTAAATATTTTATCTGTCTATTTAGAGACTTAACAGATTTAGTTTTAGAAAATACTGTGTATAAGGCACAGCCTACCAATGAATGTGGTTTTAATATCTTTACATACAAAGTAAAATCACACAGGATTTTAAGGCTTGCCATTTATGAATAACGCCTGTGTTGTGATGATTCATTGACTACATAATGAAAGAATTAAACATCAAATATAAGGATCAAATACTATAGAATCATGTGCCACTTGTATTAGAGAATAAGAACCCACATTGGTGTTATAAAAGAACAATGACGTCAAATTTTTACTATCTATGATTCACACTGCAGAGGGACTGATTTGTTATAGTTAAATTTATTTAAAAAAACCCACATGATAAAATATCTAGAGTGCCTTATTTATTAATTTATTGAAATAAGACTTGCCCTGGCTGGTGTGGTTTAGTTCGTTGGGCATCATTTCACAAAGGGAAAAGTTGCTGGTTTGATTCTCTCTCAGGGCACAGGCCTGGATTGCAGTTTTAGTCCCTGGTTGGGGTGGGTACGAAGGGCAACCAGTCGAAGTTTCTCTCACACATCAATGTTTCTCTCCCTCACTTCCTCCCTTCCCCTCTCTCTAAAAATCAATAAATAAAATCTTTAAAAAGAAATGAGGCTTTTCTGAAGAACTAGAAAAGTAACACTTTCATTCTGAAGTCACACCTTGATGATTTTATTCATTACTTTTTTTAATGCTCACCCAAGGGCATGCTTATTGATTTTAGAGAGAGAAGGAGGGAGAGACAGGGAAATATCAATTGGTTGCTTCACACACACCCCAACCAAAAATTGCACTCACAACCCAAGCATGTGCCTGGACTGGGATTCAAACCATCAACCTTTCAGTTTACGGGGCAACACTCCAACCACTTCACCATACCACACAAGGCACATCTTGATGACTTTAAAAGTCCATTTTGATAATCCTCCATCTATTCCTCCTATTTGTATTCCTTTTTTGCCAGCCATCTTCAAGGTAATGTTTGTAAAACATTCCTTTCTGCTATTGAGAAATCCCTTAACTCTTTTTTATCTAAGGGCAAAGTCTAAACTTCTGAGTTTGGCATGAAGGTTCTCCGTACTCCAGGAGTGAATGAAATCCTGCAGGGAGAACTGCAGAAGACCAAAGTCAGAATTTTGGGAAAACATAAAGAAAAGATAACGTAAGAATCCAGAGGACACTACAGTAGTCCCCTCCCCACCCCCGCTCAGCCACAGTTTTGCTTTCCATGGTTTCAGTTACCCACAGTCAACTGCAGTCCAAAAACATTAAATGGAAAATTTCGTGAATAAGCAATTCATATGTTTTAAATTGCATGCCATTCTTTGTAGCGTGATGAAATCTCGTAGCATCCCGCTTTATCCCACCTGGGACATAAATCATCTCTTCGTCCAGTGTGTCTAAGCTGTATACATTACCTGTCACTTAGTCACTTCGTAGCCATCTCTAATAACCCTTGATCTTGGTTATCAGATCAGTTTGCAGAGAGAGAGAGAGACCACATTTACTTAACCTTTATTACAGTGTATTGTTATAATTGTCACATTTTTATCCTTAGTTGTTACTCTCTTACTGTGCCTAATTTATATATTAAACTTTGTCATTGAATGTATGTATAATAAAAAAAACCTTTTCTTGACATTTGAGTACTATCAGTGATTCCAGGCACCCACTGGGAGTCTTGGAGCATATCCCCCGCAGATAAGGGGGACTACTGTAATAGAGATCAGAGAGG